TTGTTAATTTCCTACCACTTTGTTTGTAACTCTGTATTGTCTGTACTCTTCTTTTGCTCTTTTGTAAAAGGTTATCTGTCTGTTAATGTTTTCCTTCTATTTTTAAAATTTAAAAAAAAACAAATTAAACCAATAGTTTTTAATGCCAGACTGAATGTTTTTATATAAGCAGTAGCTAAATACATTGCTTTATGCAGTTATTGCAAGAGCAAAGAGAGCTCCAAAGAATGCATTACCACAAGTAAAATCTAAATGAAAGTACAAATCAGTTGACAAATCACACCAGGGCTGCCATTTATATCCTAACTAGTTGAGTTAGAAATACACTAAAAAGCTTTGCACCACAGGGAAATTGAAAATGTCATTCCTAATCCATCCTGTTGAAATATATACACATACAGAAGGGACAGCAGTGATTCATTCAGTAAACCGCTGAGTGGTGATCAGGAAAATACAAAGACAGGTACTGACCTCAGGGACCTCAGGTTGTGGTAAGGTAAAGAGATAACTAACCTTTTGTTAGAGTTCAATGGGGGGATATGTGCCCTGCAATAGAATAAGAATGGAGTCTAAAATATTTTAGATGTATTAGGAGAATTACTGCTGTAGAATAAATATTGTTCCTTCCAAAATACATATGCTAACTTCTAACATTCATAGTGATGGCATTGGGAGGTGGAGCCTTTAGGTGGTGATTCAGTCATGAGAGTGGGACCATCATGAAAGGAATTATGCCCTTATAAAGCAGACCCTAGAAAACTTCCCAGTATCATATCGAAGAAAAAAACAGCTGTCTACGAACCAAAAAATAGGCTTTCACAATACACCAAACCTATGAGCACCCTGATTTTTGAACTTCTCAACCTTAAAAAATATTTTTAAAAATTGTTATCATTTATAAACCACACAAATCATGGTATTTTGTGATAGCATGCAGGGCAAAGAGACATATCCTAGGAGCTGATATTCATACTGAACCCTAGAATGGCTTCTAACACAAAAACAAACAAGCTCAGTGGAAGGCATGTTCCAACTGTAGTCAGAGAATTCACCTGTCTCTACCCTTAAGCCCATACCAATCCAATAACTGTTGGAACTAATAGTTCTGCCAGTTGGTAAGGAAGGACTGCTCCTCCCCAGTCTTGCCTTACTAGCTTCTCTTCTCAGCATAGAAATGTGCACCTCTCTTCCATCTTTAAATTTTCTTTTGTTTCTCTAACTACTCCTATTACTTTTCTTCTCTCTTTTCCTTTATAATCAAGCTTTTAATAACACTAACACTATTCCCTCAAATCCTATTAATTCTTCTTACACCAATTAAATATTCTTACCCAAGTGGACAGTGATTCTAACTACCAAATTCACTTACTATCTTACCATATCTTCCTTAATTCCTTTATCTCCTTCTGTAGCTTTTCAAATCTCTCCATGACTGTCCACTGATTTTATTATAAAAATTTCTGCCAGCAGAACAACACATAAGGATAAAGGCTCTTCCTTCTAAGTGCTCCTTATTATATTATCTTCTGCTGTGAGAAATATTTTCATTTCAGAAACAAATGCTTAGAAAAATTAGATTCATGTACTTCACAGAAAGGTCTGAAAGAGTTTTTCACATTTAGTCACATAATCAATGGACAAATATGACTTAAGAAACACATGACAGAAGTCTTGGCCTTACCATTGCCTTTACTCTCAAACAAAGTTCATGGTCAAGAACAAACTCAAGTTTTTTTTTTTTTTAAGCCAAAGTTTTTAATCTCTGAGGATACAAAACTCTCAAGAAACAAAGGAACAGCCGGCTGTAGCATTTGAATTGACTTTTTCCACTGAGAACAATCAATAAATCTGTGAAAAGAAAACTAAACTTAAGGTATTGAGCTCTTGGGAGGCCAAGATTAGAAAACAATAACAAAGAAAGATGAGCACAACCACTCAAAGTTGCATTTTCCAGAGGTATATTCTTATATTAGAAAGGAAATCACGAAGCTTATCTGTACTTTGGAGTCTTCTTGGAACCAATGAGATGAAAAATCAAAATGAAGATATGGCTGTGATAAATTAATTACTACTTCCAACTATAATCATGAAAGCATGTTTTCAGGTAAAGGTAAACTGACAATACCACATCATGGACTTGTAATTTCGGTTTCCATTATCAGGATGTCCAAGAATGTCAAGTTCTGGATCAAGATTCGGAGGTCCCAGAGCATTACCACTCTAAAACACCTGGAGAACCCAATGAAAATTCTCTGAGAAGGCACCATCATCTTGGCAGACAAACTATTTATTTAAATATCTTTTAAATACAATAATCTAGCACAAACTTAAAGATAAAAAACTTAAGGGAAAAGATGTAAACAATAGTTAACAGTAATAACCACTAAACTATGGTATATTAAAATTATTGAACACAGACAACTTAAAAAATCAAAACAACTCAAAAAACCTGTATTTATTATGTTTAAAGAAATAAATGCTAAGATTGAAATTTGAGATGAAAACTGAAAACTATAGAAAAACAAATAAGACAAATAAATACAAGTAAAAGTCTGGAATATAATATCAGGAAAGAATACCTCAATGAATGATTTGAGTACTATCTTAGAGATAAAGAAAAAACTAGTTTTTAAATTTTTTTTAAATTAAAACATAAATTAAAAGAAATTTTCAGGACTGTAACATGGAAATTTCAGAACAGAGAGCTACTTAAGAAATACACTGAAAATTTGTGACAAATATTTCATTAAAACCCCAACAGAAGAAGGTGTCAGAAGCAATATTTAAAACAGAAAGAAGCTTACAGACTAAAGAAAGACACTGATCCACTAATTCAAGAAGACAAATGAACCTTAAGCAAGATACAGATAAGGAAAGGAACATCTACACACAACACATCAAAAGGAGTAGGAGCTGTGCACGGCGGTGCACAGCTGCAATCCCTACACTTGGAAGACTGAGGCAAGAGGATTGCCACAAGTTTAAGGTCAGCCTGGGCTACATAGTGAGTACTACATAGGGAGAGGCACGTGAGGAGGGACAGGGATACTAAGGAAATCTTAATAGCATCCAGTGTAAAAAGACCTTCAAAAGATCGAAAGTTATTATTATGGCTGATTTCACAAAGGCAGCAATGGAAGCCAGGAAAGAGTGGAATATCTCCAGATTTCCGATACAGAACAGAATTACCTGGCACTATTCTAAGATTCACACCTTATGTGAAAGAAATTTCAAAATCTTGGATGACATTACACTTTCATAAATTATTTAATAATATTTTAAATAATTACAAACCTTTCTTTTAAATTTGAAGGTAATCACCGAAAGAAAAAACATGTAATTTCCAAACTAGGAGCAGGCTGGGGTTGTAAATTCTGGCTGAACACTGTGTAGCATGAACAACACCCTGGCTTCAAGCTCAAGCCCTGCAAGGGGAAAAAAAAAAGTAGGTCTTTAAAAATAGAGTCATAATGAAATCCAATAAGGCAAGAAAGGAAAGAAAAAGAAACAAAGAAAGGGGGGACAAATATCAGAAAAAAAAAAAAAACAACATAGATTTGAATTCAATCAGTCAATTATTTCAGTAAATGCAGAGCACCTCAGAACTAGAAAGCCTTCCCCGCTGTCTCAGGAAGTGTTGCTAAAATGGAAGTCTTCTCTTGGGCACAGATGGAGACAAGCTGTCCTTGTACATTTTGCAGAGCAGAACAAAATGCAAGCTTCCTTGAAGCAACTTGGTCAGATGAATTTCATGAGAAAGTGAGGAGGAGGGGAAGCACCTAGGTCAACCGTGCCCATTTCTTGTTACAAAGTATATAAAAACATTTTTTTCACTTTTTAAATAAGAGGAATAGAGAAGAAGAGAGAGATAAAAGACAATATAATAATTGTTAAAGCTAAGGCAAAATCAGGACACTCCAATTTCAGTATTTAGTTTTCTAGTCTACACTATTGTGATGTATCTGAGGAGTGTAGGAAGAGACAATAAAAAGAGAAAAAGTGAGTACACATCTAAGGCAAGTCTTAAGAAAGTACACATCTAAGGCAGATCTGGTGTGGGTGTAAGATTTATAGTGCTGAAGTGAACTGCTTGACTTTGTAGAAATCAATGAGAGTAAATTCAATTTCAACTTTCTATTAAAATGACATAAATTGTAAGATGAAACCATATGTGCTAGGTGTATGGTCTGCATGTGGAATGTTTCCCAAAGGCTCATGTGTTGAAGGCTTAGTTCACTATGCTGCAATGTTTAGAGGCAGAGCTCTTGGAAGGTGGTTTGGTCCTTAGGGCTTTAACTTCAATGGATTAATCTACTGATACATTCCTAATTTGATGACATTAATGAGAGATGATGGAAACTTAGGAGATGGGGGTCTTACATGAGGGGGGTAGGTAATGATCTATTACCTTAGGGATTATATCTTGTCCCTGGCCCCTTCCCCATGGTTTTTTCTATTTCATGGCCACCATGAAGTGGGCAGCTTTGCTCTACCTTCTGCCATGATATATTGTCTCATCACAAACCCAGAAACAGGGTAACTGGCTGACCATGGACTGGAACTTCTGAAACCATGAACCAAAACAAACCTTTCACTTTAGACATTGTTTTCTCAGGTATTTTGTCACAGCAGTGGAAAACTGTCTACAATTCTAAGTTAGGGAGGAGCACAGAGAACGTCTAAACTATTTCCAGTGGCTGTTAAGACAAAAATAAAGACCATAGAAGATAAATGATTGAGAGAAATAGAGAAAAGGATTGGTTAATGTAAAATTTCTGACAGCATATTATTCTTCCAAGCTCTATCTCTACCCGCATTTCCCTGAAAAACATTGCACAAAATCACATTTTGAAAGACTGTATTTTTCAACTAACATTGAAAAGCAGTTTCAATCAAAGGATTCAAAAAGACCCACAAGAGATATCATCTCAATGTGTCCATCTTTTAAAATACATTTAAATTAGTGACTTCAGAAAGAGAAAAACATATCCTATCTTTAAAGACCACCAGTGAATTTTTTTACATGTCATCTTGGTGGTTAATTTCAGCACTTAACACTCCTCTTATGAACTAAACTATCATTCAGAAACTTAATAGGATTTTATTTTAAAACCTATGTATTTAACATATAGTTTAAATCTATTTTTTTTTTTTGGTTTTTCTTCCCATAGACACATATTATATAAGTGTCACAAGGTTGGTGGTGAGATGCCCCATTGAATTCTATTTAATGTCTCCACAAGAAAATTTTCAAAAGTAGAAAGTTACATGAAAATGAAAAGAAGGGGAAAAGCACTGCTCTTCATCATCACTGCTCGACAGATCTGGTGTAAGTATAAGATTTATAATGCTGAAGTGAATTGCTTGACTTTGTGGAAATCAATGAAAGTAAAATCCAATTTAAACTTTTTATTAAAATAACATAAATTGTAAGATGTGACTTTCCTGTCATAGTAAATCATCCAGACTGGAATGGATTGCTGGAGGTAGAACCAGAAGAACCATAATTTAAGTACATGGATTGCGCCATTGCAACTAGACTGTTGGCCTTTTCAGACTCAGAAAAGAACATTTAAGCCGACTCCATCACCACAAGTACACTAAACTTCAGTATAGCATTCTGCTTGTGTCAGTAGTCCCAAAGATGTGGATTGGTGCATCCAAGCCAAATACACAGTGACGTGTATCAATTACCAAAATTACTGGAATTTGGAAAGCAGCCATGCTATCTTTTTCCACTGCAGTGAAGCTTTAGAACTGGCAATGGTGCAGACTGTGCCCTTGTAGTATGGCACTGAACCAGCCCCACACTCCTGAGTATCTTGAATCCAATCCTAAAGAAGCAAAAGCAAATTAAAAAGAAAAAAAAAAAACAAGAATCATATGCTTTTAGGAATTTAACATAAAACTCACAAGACATCCTTAAGGATCCAGAAGGTGAGGAGGAAATCATAACCTAAATTCACCAGGGAATTTACAAACTAGGCCCTGAGCTCAGGGTTCTCTCCCTGGACTCCTCTCCCTCCTAAGGTAGCAATACCCCCAGGAGAGCATAAGCTTAGAAGGAAAAATGGCATTTAAGGGTATGGTACTAAAAAAACAAAAGACAAGAAACAACAACAAGATTAATGAAAGAAACATTAGAAATGTAAGCTAAGCATAAAATCAAAAATTGATTATGTGATGCAGAAACAAAAATGTTAAAGAAGAGTCGTGAAAGACAGCATGAATTCAGCAGAAAATGAATTTAAGCAGCTGAAAAACTGACTAAAACAAACCATCTCAGGACTCAGGGTGAGTTGACAGGTGGAATAGATGTGGAACATTATGAACATAATATACCAGAAAAATAAGAATAGAGCAATACCATCTGAACAGTAATGTAATGGGGCTACCACAACAAGATGATAAAGAAATCAGAAGGGAGTATATACCTGAAGAATTAATAACTGCCCATTTCCTAGGACTAAAAATGAAACATCTCAAATTATAAAGACTGATAGAATTCCAAATTGCAAACAAATGATAGAGAAAGAAAAGAAATACAAAATCTGGACATCAGTGTGGCAAACTCAGTGACTTCAAAATCTAAGAGAAAAGACTAAAAGATTCCAGAAACAAAGAGCAATTTAACTATAAAGAATAAAATTTAGGTTGTTTTCAGCATCCTGAGATAATGAAAAATATTTTGCAGTGTTTCAGGAAAAGAACATGGAACACAGAAATGTATATCCAATAAAGCTATGATTTAACATGAGAAGGTAATAACCATATCCTGTGTATGCAGAGCTTTAGAAGATAAAACCACAAGACATGTTGTGAAAACACTCAAAATAGTCACCTTACCAGAAAGGGGGGCACATATGTGGGAATACATGTAATAATCCAAAATTTAAAAATGATGATACTCACTGGACCTTCTTCAGGAAAGAGGGAGGTAAGAGCTATAGGAGGTAAGACTCCAGTTCACAGGCAAAGAAACTGAGGTACAGACAGGTTAAGAAATGTCTCAGAAGCAGTGCCAGCATTCAGGTACTCATCACTCAAAAACCATAGTCTTCAGAAAAAATGTACAGATATTTATAAAATTAGCAATTGCAAAATGGAAATAGGCATAAATACAGTAAGTCTCAGGTGGGCATCGGATTAAAGAATTGTAATGTATATATCTTCGTGTATATGTAACAAACCTAAGAGAATTTGATTTATTCAGTGGGAGCAGGGAGAAAAGAAAAAAGTGAACAAATAAATTTAAGTATGATAAAGGGAATATATGAATTAGGTGAATTCCAATATGTCAGTAATTAAAATTAACTTAAGTGTTAAACTAACCAATAAAAAGTAAGGTATCAAATTGTTTTAAAAACAAAAAATAAAATAAAGGAATAAATTATCTACACACACAAAACAGAATTGTTGAAAATGAAGGAAAGGAAAAAGGTATCATAGACAAGTATGTACCGAAAGAAAGCCAGAGAAGTATTTTAGTGTCAGATGAGACTGAATTCAAAGGCAAAGTCACATGGGAAGATATGAATATTATACACAGGTAAAAAGAATGTGAATCAAAAGATATAATGATTATATACCTAAATGTACTGAACAATATCTCAAGTAATGTGTTAACCTTTATTGAATGTCTATCATATTCATAGCACTGTTCTAAGACCTTTATTCATTTCATCCTCAATATCCCTGCAAGGTAATAGTATTATTCTCTGGTTTACAGAGAAGAAAACAGGCACAAAAGCTTAAGGGACTTACGTAAGAATGCTCTCAAACAATCTAAGAAACGTTCTCAACCTGCTTTCTGCTGCTATTCTAGACTGTAACTTAACAAGTGACAGGTTTCTAAGGAGATAAGTCAAGAATAAAATGAATTTACTTGAAGCTTTAGCAGGCCCTATGGAAGTTAATGGAATAGCTGCACAACAAATAAAGTAAGAGAATAGGAACACCAAATTATGACTTGCTAGCCACCTATTTTCATAAATAAAATGTTACTGAAAGACAGCTATATTCATTCACTTACATATTTTCTATGGTTGCTTTTCCATTACTAGAGCAGAGCTAAGTTATTATGACAGAAATTATATGGTCTTCAAAGCCTAAAATATTCACTGTCTGTCCTTTAAAGAAACTTCCAGCACCTACTGCAAAAGACACAAACAACAAAATTTACCAAATCATCACTGGTAGATGAAACATTTTACAGGCTGGGTTTAAACATCTTCCAAAAAGTGCTTACTTTAACACTCTTAATCTCACCTATATTGAACAATACCAAACTACCCAAAATATAACCATACCCACACTATTAGAGAATAAAACTAAGCTGAGGACCAAATCAATAAGATGAAAACCATGCCTTAAGAAATGGCCTATGAGTGTGACAGATAAATGCATGGACCTTTGATGTTAGAAG